TTGTCATTAAGAACTCTTGAAGGAGAACTAGAGAGATGGCTCAATGGTTAAGAGCACTTGCTGCTCTCCCAGAGGATCTGGGTTTGATTCCAAGATTTGATGGTGGTTCACAACAATCTGTAACTTCAATTCTGAGGGATTCAGGACCATCGTTCCCCCTCTTCAGGCACCAGTCATGTAGGTGAGACCTGCATGTGGCCAAAATACTTGTACACATAAAATAATAAATATATATAGGGTTTTTGTTTTTGTTTTTCAAGTCAGGATTTCTCTGTGTAGCCATGGCTGTCCTGGAACTTGCTCTGTAGACCAGACTGACCTCTAACTCACAGAAATTCACCAGCCTTTGCCTCCTGAGCACTGGGATTAACAGTGTATGCTGCCACTGCCCAGCTTCAGAATTAGAGTTTTAAAAGGTTGCAATTAACCTATTCAAATAAAAGACATCAGGCTAAATTCATACATTTTCTATGTATCATGGTAAGAAACTGGAAAACGATGTAACTGCATAAATTATGTTAAGCTTGGTTCTAGTGCTATTTACCAATATGGAAAATGTGCCCACAACAAGCAACTATTGAAACTGGATCAAAGATAGTTTGTTTTTCTTGTAATCATCAGGCAGACTTTTAACTTCCTATAATTCAGCTATACTCACTTGTGAGGTAGTAGGTAATGAAGACAAGTGTCCTTGCCTTTCCATTCAGTGATCAAAACCCGAAGCAACAATGTATTTTCCTTTAGTCTCACCTTCCCCAAGTCTCTCAATGGCATGAGCCTACACTGCGCACTATTATTTGCGTCAAGCTATACGTGTTTTGTATACCATATCCTCTATTTGTAAATTGACCACTTGGCTTAGTATTGAGCCAAAGAAACATTCATCTGTTCTTACACTGAAGAAAAAAATGAGTCTTAAGTTTGGGGGAATATATATTTACATATATGTGTAATATATGAATATATATGTTTATATAGATATTGGAGTATGTATATAAAAACTTCCTGCTCAAGCCATGAGCCAAAATAAACCCTTTCTGAAATTGCCTTTGTTTGGTATTATAACACTGAGAAAACTAAGAATACATGCTGTACAGCCAGGCGTTGGTGGCGCACGCCTTTAAACCCAGCACTCGGGAGGCAGAGGCAGGCGAATCTCTGGGAGTTCGAGGCCATCCTGGTCTCCAGAGGGAGTGCCAGGATAAGCTACACAGAGAAACCCTGTCTCGGAAAAAAAAAAAAAAAAAAAGTGAGAATACATGCTGTTGGGTTTAAATAAAATTAATGTATATACAGTGCAATCAATAATTATTCCTGTTTTCATGAATTATACCATACTGCTCTTTCTAAAAGAAATATCTGTCCCTTCATTTCTACAGGGTACACCTACTCTCCTCTCATATCTATTTAATATTTGTCATTTCCCTTTAACAATTCTACTTCTAGGTATCCATTCTACTAAAATACTTGTTTGTGTACATAGGGTAC